GGACTTTTGGACCCAAAAAATTCTTCATGTATGTTGTACACTATAGAAAGGTAAACCCTCGTTTGGTTGATAAGATTGTATTAAAAATTCAAACTTACAATCACCATTCACCTACACTTCAAAAAAAAACTAAAACTATTACAATCCAATTTAATCACCCCAAAAAAAATGTATACTAATCCAAAGAAGCCAAAAATCAAAATTTACTTATTCACAAATGTATATCAACCTATTATATGTAAATCGAAAAAAATGAAATAAACTTTAAACAAATTCCTTAAAGTATTCGAAAGGACAAGAAAATTAAAGAGATCTGGTTCGAAAAAAGAGAAAAAGAAAACTCAAACATCAAACAAATTGATCATCATCACATCTGTTGATTTTTTCAATCAATCAGAATCAGGTGTCTCATCTCTTCTTCGTGCTACAAAAAACCAAAAAACCAAAAGTTTTGAAAATCAAATTCTAATCTTCCTCCTCCCAAAACAGCTAATCCGAAAAAAGAGCCAGACAAGAAAAAAAAAGCTTACGTCTTCTATTCCTACTACTCACGACTTTCGCTTTCGCCCTACTCTTACCTCTTCCATTCCCAGTTCCATTCCCATTCCTACTCCTACTACCTTTCCTAAGATCTTCTTCTTGTTCCTCTTCTTGTTCTTCTTCTCCTTGCTCTTCTTCTTCTGTTAATGGTTCAATCACTTGACTATTCATTTTCTTCTTCCTTTGATTTTTTTGTTTCTTATTCACTTTTTCTACTAATGCTGCATCTTCTTCTCCTTTTTCTTTAAATTCTTTAATTCCTTTTTCAAATTCGATTAAATCTAAATGATCTTTTGACCATTTATTTAATTTCACTTTTGACTAAAAAAAATCAAAATCAAAATTAATTCAATAAATGATCTCGTAAAGTTATTTTTTTGAGATTTAATTTTGATTTTTGAAAAAGACTTACTAAAATCTCTTCAAAACTTTTATAAACTTCAGAATCATAAAGTTTATCCTGATAAAATGGTAATCCATCAACCAACTAACAAGCGAAAACAACAAAACCCAAATCCATCAATCTCTTCATCTCAAAACGGACAAATTACATTAATCAAAACGTAAAGAAACACTTACTTTCTTCAAAGCTTTTTCAGATTTGAATTGTAATAAAGATAAACAATATGCGATATCTTGCCATTGCCTAACCTCATTCACCAACCTAAACCTTTGACAAAGTTTTTCTATAATCGATTCAGATTGTTTATCCTATTCGAAAACCAATATCAAATTCAAATTCATCATCAATCTTCGATTTCGAGTTAGGGATTTTAATTAGATTAGATTAGAAAGGGTTTTCCTTACTTTTTTAAGGTGTTTGAATATACTATTCATAACTGATCTAAATAATCCTGCTTCAACTGCATGTTTACCAACCGAAAGGTGTGAAATCATATCAGGTCTAATCCCCCAAACCAAATCCCCCAAACCAAAAAGAAAAAACCAAAATCAGTGATCACTTCACTCTTCCTCTTCCGTCAAAAGAAAAGAAAAGAAACTCAACAAATTATTATAAATCGCATTATGATCTTTTTTAGAAAGTTCATCAAAAAACAATTGAGCCAGATCACTAATCCTTTGATCCTGATCATCAATACATTTTGCAATTTCACCTAATTGTCCTTTAACTTTGATCATCCCATTCAAAATCAAATGAGTTAAAACCATTAATGTGTTTTTCTTCACTTCTAAATTCGAATCGTTTAAACCTTTATAAAGTTCGTCGGAATTTGAATCCATGATGGTAGAGAAACTAACAGCTATATCTCCTAATCCGATGATTATATTGGATCGAATTGTAGAAGATTTACTGGTTTCAAAGATTTTAAATAATAACATTAAATGTTGATCACAAAATTCGGCTGAAACACACATGAATTTTCCTAATGAAAGTGTTGCTGCTGTTCTGAGGGTTTCATTCTAAGAAAAAAAGATTAGATCAGACTTTCGAATTTGATTCGTTTATATCATACTTTTGGTAAACAAAACCCTTACCTTATAAACAGCAGGTAATCCACAAATCTGAACAGTCATAGGTCCATAAACACTTAATAAAGATTTCTCACCATACATCAATTCCTTTTCTCTAGCATGAGCAATAATATCACCAATATCATCTTCAACATTCCCAGCCACTTGATC